AAGGACAGAATTAATTAACCCAGGAAAGGCCAGAATTGACCCAAAATTCCCAATTTTGGGCAGGGGAAGGGTTGGACTCAGAGCAGGAAAGGACAGAATGAACCCAAGGAAGGCCAGAATTAATTAACTCAGGGAAGGCCAGGATTAATTAAGCCAGGGATTAATTAATTAACCCAAATTGCCAGTTGTGCACTCACAGCTGGGCTGGGATGGTGCAGCTGTGGCAGCTCCTCAGGGCCAGGCTGCACAGGACACGGCCCTGGATGGACAAACAGCCCTGCCAGGGGCAGAACGGGGACACTGGGGACACTGGGGACACTGGGGACACTGCTGGAAAGGGAAATTCCATTAAAATTAAATTAAAATTAAAATAGAAATTGAAATATAAATGAAAAGAAAAATACAAATTGAAATACGAGTTAAAATAAAAATATAAATACAAATTGAAATTAAAATAAAAATGCAAATAAAAATGCCAAACCCCTGAACCACACAAACGTCAAATACCCCAAACCCCACAAACCCCACACCCCCAAAACCCCAAAAAACCCTCAAACCCTAGAATTCCCCAAAACCCGAAATCCCACAAACCCAAAACCCCAAACCCCCCAAATCCCAAAAACCCCACAAGCCTAAAAACCCCACAGAGCCCAAACCCCAAAAACCCCAAACCCCAAAAACCACAGCCCTAAACCCCCAAATCCCCAAACCCCCCAGACCCCACAAACCCCAAAAACCACAACCCCAAACACCAAAAACCCAAACCTCAAAATCTCAAACCCCAAAAACCCCAAAATTCCAAATCCCAAAACCCCACAAACCCCAAAACCCCCAAACCCCCACAAATCCCAAATCTCAGAAACCCAAAACCCCAAACCCCAGATTCCACAAACCCCAAAACCCCAAAATCCCAAACCCACAGACCCCAAACCCCACAAACCCAAACCCCACAAACGCCAAAAATCCCACAAACCCCCAAAACCCCAGAAACCCTAAAAACCACGAACCCCAAACCCCACAGACCCCAAACCCCAGACCCTAAAAACCCCAAAACCACAACCCCAAACACCCAAACCACAAAAACCCCACAGACCCCAAACCCCAGACCCTAAAAACCCCAAACCCCAAAAACCCCAAACCCCAAACCCCAAAAACCACAACCCCAAACACCCAAACCACAAAATCTCAAACCCCAAAAACCCCAAACCCCA